CTCATGTTAACCTATTATTCTATTAATCCTTTGATTGATGCCCACGTGTGTTATCGTAATATAATATTGATTAATAGTCATAGCTTACTGTCTCAATCGATACTAACAATTGGTCATCTATATTTATTATTATCTATGATGGTTCATTAACAACCTTTTATAATGTTTACGTGCTTCAGTGAAGTAAGATTATTAAGACACCAATCACTAGCTGATATGGTTTTCGATTGATGTAAATATACAATGGCTACTAAAGCAAGCAGGGACTAAATCGTTATCAAAATCTAATACTCTGTTTTGTTTCTTCACTCAACATTTTACTCATTTTCAAACCATGAACTATCCCTCAATGTCTTTTTTGGACCACTGACTGCCTAATTCTCAATTTTCGATTTCCATTGCTAAACAGCAAGGACAATATTTCGAAAACTTACTGTGAGACCAAGCTATAAAGTCTCTGCAATTTTCGGCCCACTTTTCAGATTGTTTATACGTTGAAGGTAAAGCGTTTATCTAAACTCTTGTATTTTTACTAAATCAACCAAGTAACAAAGTCACTAGCATCTACCACATTCAGAAACTGTTGAAATGATGCGTGTTTATTGTTGTTGCTTTTGGATCATTGCTACTTGTCACAACTGGTCTAATATACTTCAAATGTATTGAATGATCTAAATCCAGAAAATAGTCCAGGGGAGTTTTACTAATTGGTTGGGTGAATTAACATGTTTACAACGATTCTTGATATGTACATATTTTTGCTTGGACTATTGATATATATGTCATATCAACCACTTACAAAACGATTTGTTACATAGGTTTATTTAATAGCTTTATGTGACAGCATACTTCTGCGTAAAGGCGTATTGTTTACAGGTGAAGCATATTAGATTCAACATTAACCAAATATTTCTTAATTATGATTATCGCTGCCACATATTTATAAGTGTCACTATGCTGACTACAGTAACTTATGAAGTCTGTTATCCTCAATCAACATTCTAACTAGCTAAACATAATGGTCTCTGGATACCGTCATTTCGCCTTATCATGAATGGACAACATCGTAATATCACTGATAAAATTGATAATAATAATACATTTCTGCAACGGCAGGTACACGCCATTTTACAGGCATGATCTACAAGTTACAGCATGTGGTTCACAGTATGCATCCCAAGCAGGATTGTCAAGTAAATATAATCTACAAATGTAAATATCATTTCATTCGTTCAGATATATTATGTAGTCTTCAAAATATTTTCCAAAGTGTCATAGCCTCCACGTTACACACCAGATGCAAACTCGGCAAAATTGTATTAGGATTTTGGTCGTGCTAAGTATGCATGCGATGCAACCTTTTAGGTTTAAAGTTGTTTTAAGGTAGACTTGTGAAACGCCTAGTGCGAATCATAACCCTGGGAAAACGCGTACGTCGAGTTTGTTCCAGATGTCAGAAGTACCATGGCTTTGCCTTCAGAGCAAGATTCTGAGAAAAAGAGAAACTAAGGAGCAGCAAGGCATTTGGATATGAACGACAAACAGTGTTCAACATTTAGTAGTGAAATAGACAGGTGTATGATAAATTATTAGATTAAATTCATGCTAGCTCTTGTTGCTGGAGCAAAATGTGATAAGAGGCTCCAGATGAAAGAATGCAATAATAAAGAACAATGAGTTGTGATATTTTTAAGGTGGAGTGAGTTCAAATGAAAGGAATTCAAGGTTGGAATAAAGAAGGCTGTTTATTAGAACAATGAGTGTATATAGATAGTAAAGTGTTAAGAATAACATCTATGTTCTTTATCGTCTGTTTTTTTCTTTTTCTTCCATTCGATGCCTGCCGCACAATCCTAGTGTAAAAGTCCAAGTTAGCATGTTATACATTGTCTTAGTAGAATAGCTAATGCAATTTATAATTGTAAACGTGAATATGAATGGTGAGCGTAGGAGAACAATCGTAATATCACAGATTGACTGACTTATTCTCAACTATAATATAGATATTTAGATATATATAGATTTTTTAGATATAGAATTTTTAGATATATATCATACCTCATACAATGCCCTGTGTTTCACATCCCTTTGGCGAACATACTTCTATAAGTACCATTTTACAAGCTTATCAGGCAGTTACAAATTATGGCCTCTAGGTAAGGCTTCGATGCGATGCTTCCATGAACTATAGTATGAAATATCGGTTGTCAATCAGAGTATGGACATTAAGAAGGGTATAATATGGGATAGTTGTTTACCAAAGTAGGCGGAAAAGTATAGAAATATATTAGTGGCAGATAAGGTAAGGTAACGAGTGATGAAAGAATACTAATGGCAAGGCAACATAGTTCACAGGAGAGTAAAAAGCTGACAAAGAATAGACAAGAATTAACTCGCATTAACTTCTTGTCGATGCTGTTTTGTTCTATCCTAAAGGGGTTGATGGGTAACAGGTTCCATAGATGCAAGACCACTAGTAGTAGGCAGTCGATCGTGCGGTTCTTTTGAAGTTTTGAGGCAATAGTGAGCGTCTCTTAGCGACCGAGTATTGGTAGGTCCAGAGAGTTGCCTGGCTAACTCAATTTAAAAAAATTAAGGAGGGGAAAGTACCTAATACAACTACAAAGTAGGAAAATAAGGCAATTTATTCTATATATCTAGAGAGCCCATAATGTATGAGTGGGACGCGGATGTGTTCGCTTGTGCTGGATCTGTGCAAGTGAGGGCTTCATCAATAAGTCTTCCAAACGTATGTAATTTATCCGCCAGGTGTATTTCAGAGGGAAGACTGCTCCATATTAATGCATACTTAAATTTGTCAACAAATTGATTCACGAATTAACTCATGTTTAGTGAATTGCTGTAAGCTATCTGTCCAAAAGGTACACGATTATCATTATATTCATATAATAAAAAGCATTCTTGATAACCATTCATATTTATCAGTAGGTTTATTAAATCCTATGATGGTTAAAAGGTAGCGAAGTCGATAAAATCTCTCAGCAGCCAGGTAAACTGAATTAAACTTAACAGACTAACTGAAACACTAGTTGGAATTCTTCCTATCCGCGTTTTTACTTCTATTCCTTGATATAGTCTACTAATGAAGGCGCAATTGGAAATCAGCTCATACGGACAGCATACTGGAATGTAATTTAACTGACTTTCTAACTTAGACTTACCATTGGTTCATGGCATCCCAATTACCAGAGCTGGAGACTATCTTCCTATCCACGAAACGAATTTAAATTCTTTCAAGTCATCTTATGTAATGCAAGTTCGACGTATCAAAATAACGTTTGCACAACCAAAGTTCAACCTGTCTTAGCAGATCAGTTTTCCATCCGAGATGGCAGGACACACCACAGCTGAAGTTAGGTTGAACACTTGTGCACATTCATAAGACACTTCTAACGCTTCGTCAGGAATGCGATCAGCGTCTCTTATGATCTGACAGCTGTTTGCCATCAAATTCATCAATGCCATGTTGATTTTTTCTTTCTGGTTTACGGACTTCTGTGGACACAAATAAACGTCATTACATCCTACAAGAAACAGACTAACAAATTTTCTTCTTTCATGTACCATAATCATTCAAAGGTCTTACATTTCTGTGTCTACCGGATGCTATCACCGTTGATAGATCCTCATTATAATTAATTTTTGTGCTGACTGCTAATGATGCAACACAAATCACTGCTAAATTCAATTACCGTTGATGGTGCTTTCATCAACAAGTTGATTAAACGAAGGCAAGTTATGTTTTTTCATGTAAGTAGTTTGCATTTTATTCAACCTACGGTTATATGTCTATCTATGACAACCGAATACGCTTAGAAGATTCACTGTTGCCATACGTCTACGAACATTCATTGATTCCTACTAAGTTCTTCTTATAGGACAAATGAGGTAATTAGTGATGATAAATGTACACACGAAGAGCGAATCACTTGCATGTTGTAAGCTATTTGTGATTGTTGTCAAGCATATTGGAACACTTATATCAGATAAATAACAATATATAACAACGATATATACATCTCGGGAAATTTCCTGTTTACATAGTTAGATATGTGTTTATGATAGATTTCCCCCTTTGTCATCAAACAAGACGTTATTTTTGGGAGATTTATGGAAATGTATGTACGGTAAGCGGCATTTTCAGTTGGGGTACTCTAGATATATTTGTCTATCGATTCCCCATAAAATTACGGCTTTAGGTGGAAATTCGACATTCCTCCTAAATGCTCGACGTCAATGGGAATAGTCGACCTTTCCCCTTTATTTTACGCTCTTGTCCCCTTTATTTCCCTTTGTTCGTCTTTATTTTCTCCTTATTGGTTGCTGGGTTTATTATTATGCAGTCTCCAACAAAAGTCGTGACCGTACGGGATTGGAGCCACCAAATCAGACTAAATGTGACCTTCGTAACTTTAACTGGTGGATTAGCTTTAGACGACTATTGCAAACCAAGAAGCCACAACAATCTTTACGTATATTTGTGTGTAGTGTAAAGGTTAGAGTTTAAAAATAGGTCGGATGGAGTGCAGACGGTCTCTGAGGTTTGTCAGTTCCATATACAGTCATCAGTTCGGAGAAATTCCAGAGAAGAATAACAGAATATAAGCCAGAAGAATGCTTTTGATGAAACCAGCGGAAGAATCACTATATATCATGTAATTAATTGTGTTAAGCAAAGTGGTTTTTTATGCTCTCGATACACGACTGAGTATAATGTTGTAACATAAGACTTTGTAGTCTACGACACAACCAAGTGAAACTAGTGGTTCATGTATTCCCTCACAATTCATGACTGTCCAAGCACGAAATGCTTCAAAACAGAACGAAAATAAAGCAACATGATTTTTAAGCAAATACTTACTCTCAGAACCATTTTCCTTATGAAGCAACCCTATTTCAAAATGTATTTGTTTGAATTGATAATAAGTTTTTAAAACCAGGCGTTATCCTTTTTGTGATTGGCTACTGGGGTAGGTGCTGACTCATCGCTTACTTCAGAGTACATACGACTTGTCCTTGTGCGCACAAAGCGCTTCCTTTGTGTCCTGAGGCGATCAGGGGTTATTCTGATCTTCAATGACACGTGATTACCAATGCCAGATAACAAATGTGACGAATCATTTGCTCAAAATAACAGTGATACTGTGAAGTCAACTCGTCCTTTGCATGTGATTACACAATATGCGAGAGCGGATGTTTCTGAAATGCATTCGCCTGGCAGACCGACCAGTTTAGGACTATGTTTAACAAACGCTTCCAATCTTACAGATCTCAAGAGCTGTTCCTTATCGCTTCGTAATGTTGTATCTCAAGAAGTTTGTTACCAACCATGGACCGTCCGAGCTGTAGACACATCGGAGTTTGAGAAGCTCCTAGGACATCTTGGCAATAATGGTTCTACACCAGTAACTCCAACCAGCTTTTTAAACCCAAACAATATAACAGAGGATCAGGAGTTGTTTGCAGAGTAAGTTTTGATTTTATGTTTAGCTAGAAATAGCCGCACTTGTAGTAATTTTCCGAAGCAAACATCATCCCATTTTAACTTACTTGGAAATTCATATGCTTTCTTTAGTCACCAATTAAAGAGGAACTCAAGTTTAGCATTGATTACTGTAGTATTACCCCGGCATCTTGGGCTGTATGAATCGATCTAATCACAGTAGAACATACCCATTTCTTATTTTTCGAGCTCAAGTTTATCATATTCTTTTCGTTCCATAAAGCTGTTTTCTTTCGACCTATTGGTGTCTAGCAAAAAGAGTCAGCCTGCTATGCTAAGCTTCCGTCTTGAAGACATCCTCTCTGAGGTCACAGAAAACAGGTGTTTATATTGTTGCTAGTCATTATAAAATCACCCCTAATTATCTTATACTATTATAGATATAAATGACAATTTATCCTTTCCTAATAATAACTAAACCTGATGCTACAAGTAAGTTTTATGGTTAGTCTTTGGGTACATTTCAAGGCGCGTTTATTCTTTTAAGGTGACAAAAAACGTTTCTGCACTTCAAACGAAGTCGAGTAGTTACTAAAAATCCGGATGGGTTTTCGTACCATCGAATTGACTAGAGCACATCTCAGAGTTACTGTGTAATATTTAGGTAGTAAAGAATCAGGGGATCCCAATTTCCCTACCAGTGACCCTTATAATTAGGGTCTGTTTATCTTTTATCATTTCGCAGATTAATTACATTATATCTATCAGAATTAAAGTCAATCCATTATTATCTGGCTGGCTTAAAGATCGAATATCTTCCGAGAGAATTAGTGTATCCTAATCATAGACTTTCTCCCAGACATTAACATCCTCAACAAACTGGTGGTTTTGGAAGACATTCATGTAGTTCTTTTGTGTATATTAAAAAGAGCAACAGGCCTAAAAATGAACCATACCAAACACCAATAAAACAACAATTTAAACTAGTTTATCAACAAAGACTGCAAACCTCTGTTTAACGGTAAAACTGACCAACTCGAAGGCCCTTAAAAATAAACGACTCACATTGTGCAACAAACCTGGAGCGCTTAGCGAATAACAGACTACAGGTTTGTCACAGAAAATCTTAAAGATAATTCAAGACGATCAGCCGTTTTGAATGTAGCTCTCCTCACGTTACAAAATTCAACCACAGTCCTTTGACTAGTCACATTGATTGGTTAAGCAAAAATCTTGTTATAACTAGAAAAATTAGATATAAGGTCAGAATTACTCCATAATAAGCCAGTTATCTGCTTCACAAGATTTCCGAGACTCAGCCCGACCGTGGCTGCTACCTTGACGTGGTGGTCGGGCTTGCCTATCGTGGTGAAGCAATCGAGCTATGCTGGCTGGAACAATCGTTCCTCAAGGTCCTACCATGCCAGACAGGTCGGTTGAAGAGCGGTGAGACTAAAAGCAGCAAACCCAAGGTCCGAAGGCGAAGTCGTACTGTCGACTGTACAGAGGTGTGACGGCAGTAAGGTGTTTCCTTCAGACAACCAGCATGACAGCGATGCTGCCTTCCCACAAGGGGGGGGGTTAGAAAAGGTCGGCCCTAAAAATGCACACCTCGCCTTATCCCACGGATATCCGTCTCCGGCGGTAAGGTTTTTTTTGAAGAACGGAGCTAACACAAAAACTACCCACAAAAAGGTCGTGTGTGACCGACCTCAAGCAGTTGTCCCTTGGGCACTGCGGTCACGCTCTCAGGTCATTAAGACCACTTCTAACCCAATTTCCTTTTCAGGTACCCCCAGGAGAACCCTTCCACGGTGTGGGCAACCGGGAAGTGATAACTGCCCTCATACCTCTAACAGCACTCAAGACCACCGTATTCATAATCAATCTCCTTCAATTCCTACTATTCCTTCTACCTTGACTTTCAACACTAAACTTCCTGTTCCGGTTTCCTCCTCAAGTGTCACCATGGCCAACGATTCTAGTGCGCGGAACGCTGTCCCAGGTCTACTTAAACCTCGCTCCAAACTACACATTGGAGCCTTCAACGTTCGTACCCTATGCCAAATCGGTCAACAGGCCTCCTTAGCTAAAACCCTAGAATCTCGTACCATTGATGTATGCTGTGTCTCCGAAACACGCATACAGGATCCCAGTGTGGTCATTCACTTGACCTCACCTCGCCAAAATGGACAGCCAACGAAATACACCCTCCGTGTATCTGGCGACCCGTTGGCTAGTTCTCGTGGACTTGCAGGTGTAGGCATAGCACTAAGTACAAGGGCAGAACAGGCACTATTAGAATGGATCCCCGTTAACAGTCGCCTGTGTGCTGTCCGGCTGAATGGCTCCGTAAGAACTCGGAAGGATAGGGACACACATCGTTGCCTTTTCGTCGTTTCTGCCTACGCTCCCACCGACTGCAGCCATGATGAAATGAAAGATGACTTTTACAGAAAGCTCTCTGAGCTTCTTCAGAAAGCTAAGCGCTCAGACATAGTACTCATAGCGGGTGACTTTAATGCCCAGGTAGGCAGCTTGAATCAAACAGAAAGACATTTAGGTGGGTGTTTTAGTATTCCGGCTCAACGAACCGATAATGGTGATCGTCTGTTGCAACTATGCTCAGACAATCGTTTATTTTTAGCAAGCACTAATTTTAAACATAAGGAGAGACATCGTCTAACATGGCGACCACCTGCACCAAACCAACGATGGACTCAAATAGACCATATTGTCATCAGTCATCGTTGGAGAGGCTCAATAGAAGATTGTCGCTCGTATTGGAATACTTGTTTAGACTCTGATCACGCTTTAATACGAGCGCGCATTTGTCTGCGCCTCAATGGACGCAGGAAAAGTACACTAAGAAGACCCATTAGGATTGAACTGGAGGACGAGAAAGCCAAATGCGAATTCCAGAAACAACTGAGTTCACATCTAGGCAGTTCTGTAAACAAGACTGACACAGATTCTGCTTGGAAAGACATACGAACAGCTGTGGAAACAGCAGTTACATCTATTAGTCATTTAAACCATAGGGCTCCAAAAAACAATGGATTTCTTCTAAGTCTATTTCACTGATGGATTCGCGTAAACTCATCCCATCAGGCTCTGAACATGACAAAGAGCGTAAAGAAATTAGATCTAGGTTAACTAAAAGTCTAAGGAACGATCGTGAGCAGTGGTGGGCAACGAAAGCAAAAGCGATGGAAAGGGCAGCGGCTGTAGGCAACACCAGGCAACTATTCAGACTAATAAAAGAAACCGGAATTAAGAAGTCAAGTGTAAGTGAGACAATCTCCGAAAAAGACGGAACCCTTATCTGCTCTCAACCCAAACGTTTAGAACGATGGGCGGAACACTTTAAGGAGCAGTTTAGCTGGCCTTCAGCTACTGCACAACTACCCACTATTCCTAGAAAACCTGAATGGAACATTGAAGTAGGCCCCCCGACCCTACTTGAAGTTCAAAAGGCTATAGGTAATCTGAAACGAGGAAGAGCAGCTGGTCCAGATGGATTGGCTACAGAGGTCTTTAAATATGGTGGTCCGATTTTAGCGATTAGGTTGACTAATATTCTGGCTAAAATCTGGGAGACGGATGTAATCCCATCCGACTGGTCACAATCACTGATTGTCCCAATATATAAAAAGGGGTCAAAATCATCCTGCGATAACCATAGAGGGATTAGTCTGACCAACATAGCATCTAAAATACTAGCCTCAATAATTATCGGGCGCCTAACTAAGACTCGTGAACTGCAAACACGAGAAAATCAGGCTGGCTTCAGACCTGGTCGTGGCTGTATCCACCACATATTCACCATTCGTCAAGTTTTAGAGCACAGACACGCTCATCGGCGTCCGACAATGATAGTTTTTCTTGAAAGCAGCATTTGACTCTGTAGACCGAGAGGTTCTGTGGCAGTGTCTGTCATTGAAAGGTGTACCTGAGAAGTACATAAACCTTGTGAAGGCTCTTTACTCGAACACTATCAGTCGAGTGAGAGCTTATGGCGAACTGTCATATGATTTTACAACCTCAAGTGGTGTCCGTCAAGGCTGTCCACTATCCCCCTTTTTGTTTAACTTCATTATAGACCTGTTGCTGGAAATAACACTCTCTTCGACTGAATTTACAGGAATTGATCTACCAGGGGGACCACTAAGCGACTTAGAATACGCAGATGACATAGTCCTGTTTGGTGAAGACGCTGGCAAAATGCAGAGTCTTCTGTTGGAACTCAGTAATAATGCCAGGATGTTTGGGATGCGATTCTCCCCATCCAAATGTAAATTGTTACTCCAGGACTGGCCTGCATCAACACCTGAACTAAGGATAGGGAGTGAAGTAGTCGAACGCGCTGACAACTTCACTTATCTTGGAAGTCTGATCAGCCCTAATGGGTTGGTGTCTGACGAAATCTCAGCACGGATTCGAAAAGCTCGTTTGGCTTTTGCCAACTTACGTCACCTATGGCGAAGACGAGATATCCGTCTATCAATTAAAGGACGAGTATACTGCGCAGCAGTTCGCTCTGTTCTACTTTACGGTTGTGAAACATGGCCATTAAGAGTAGAAGATACTCGTAAGTTACTAGTATTTGACCACAGATGCCTTAGAAATATTGCACACATCTGCTGGGATCACCGGGTAAGTAATAGTGAGGTTAGACGCAGGGTATTAGGGAACGATGGTAAATCAGTTGATGGGGTCATGAATCTTCATCGACTGAGATGGTTGGGCCATGTGTTACGTATGTCTGAACACCGATTACCACGACGCGCTATGATGACTAGTGTAGGGGATTGTTGGAAGAGAGTTAGGGGTGGCCAAACCAAAACATGGCATCAGTGTTTGAAGTCACTAACTTCTAGTCTGAGCCATGTTGGCAGATGCAGACTACCTGGTTGGGGTCCGCGTGATTATCGTAACCAATGGTTGGAGACTCTAGGTGACATGGCTCAGAATCGATCACAATGGCGTAGGTGTATACACTCGTTATCTTCCTTTAAACCTTGAGACTAAAATTGCTTCATATCTCTCCTCCTTCCTGTACTATATCCTTATATACAACCTATAATTTATATACTACTACCACCACTAAATTAATTACTTCTATGAACCCGGTGTTCATCTTGTTGTGCTAACGAGGTATGGCAACTTGGACTGATGCATAAATGTGCCTGGTCCTACGTTGTAGCTGACTGAACCAACTACAGGTCAATATACTGGACTTTGTGTATTTACTCGTTACGCTTAGTGACTCACACCTGGTTGATGAGCGTCGATCGCTTCGTCAGTTAAGTCATCCCTGTTAAAATGTATTTTTATGGTCCTTATTTAACCTGCAAACGTATTTGTAGATTAACATTCTCTCGTCGAACTACTAGAAATTAGTTTGAAACAATATCTATTTGATGTCATACTTGGCATTGTTCTTTCTATAGGAAGTCTACTATTATAATTAACGTGTTCAACACTGGGTCAATGAAATTCTTTAAATCTGATTTCAGTACGTGTTTACCTAACCCGTTATTAGAGGAATTAAAGTGTTCACAGTTCAATTGAAAGTAAATAATCCTATTTATGTTCTGATAACATTCCATAACTTGTATCTCATGTGATTTCATATCATAAAGCGTGGCAACTTACCAATTCACTTTCTAGCTTTGTTCATTCAGTAGTGGTAATATCGAAAATAACACCTACATTTTTTGTTGAACTTATGCGTACATCCCTGCAGAAACAGTTAATGAGTTTACAACTATAAGCCGAAAGCGGACTTCTCTCCCCATAGTTCCTAGTATTAGTAATTAATTATTATTAAGTCAGCATTCCTTTTACATTATCGAAGTTATATCTGAATAAATCATAACAGAAAGTGGTATGTATGTTGGCTCAAGTTGTCACCCTTTTGTTAAGAACAGTAAGTGAATATAATAATCAATTGAGGTTAGAGGACAGGTTAATTAATTCGGGCTAGATTAACTGTGTGGTAGTAAAAGGTTCATTTGACAAAATAGTATGAGTTGTAAATGCGCCTGTACTCTTGGGACCCACCCACCCTTCCTGTTTCCAGTCACTAGTTTCTTTTGCCAGAAACATGAACGATCGATTTTGAGTTTGTCGTTCCGCCATAATTCGTGAAATTATGTTGTCGTGATTGAAGTACAACTAGATTCCTTCCAGTTTGGAGTTATTTTAGAGGCGTGGAGAACATGAATAACGGTAAAAGTTAGATTCACTACTTACATCAACTGACTATCGGCCAGCCATATCTGTAAAATTTATCCAACTTTTCACGTTTTTGGCAGTTAAGTGTGACTCAGTTTATTCATATTGCTAACTGTACTGAGTTGTGACGGCAGAAAGGTGCTTTCCTCAGACAAACATCATTTGGAGCAATGCTGCCTCTCCACAAGAAAGGAGGGGTAAGGAAAAGTCATCCCTAAAAATAAAACATCTCACCCTGCCCCCATGGACTTCTGTTCTTGACAGTAAGACCTTTAAAATACACGGCTAGCATATCAAAAACTACCTTCAGAAAGGTTGTGCGTGTACAACCCCAATCAATTGTCTTTTAGTCTCTATAGTCATACTTTCAGGTCACTAAAACCACTATTCATCTAGTTTTCTTTTCGGACGCCTCAAAAAGTATCGTTTGATTGTGTAGTAGGTTGGGTAAGGACAATAACTCACACCTAACAGCACTCAAGATCATCTTGTTCACAAACAAATCCCTCCTTAGTTTCCTAATATTCCTTCTATTTTCACCCAGTCTTCATCTTTTACCTTTAGTCTCTTCGACGTTACCCATCTTTGCTGACGATTTGAGTTTATAAATCATTCCTGGCGTTCTTGAATTTTGTTTTATGGTTTTCAATGTTCAGATCTTATATCAAACTAGACAACAAGCTTCATTAGCTTAGGCTTTAGGGTTTTGTACCATTGACATATGCTGCGTCTTCGAAATGCGCGTACAGATTCCAAGTTTGACCACTTATTGATCTCACTTAGTCAATATGGAGAATCGGCTCGACTGACTACAAGTGTATATAAACACCTGAATGCTACTCGTAGCCTAACTGGGTAGGTGTAGCATTAATTTCAGAAGGCGAATACTCCTGGACCGGATTCTAACAGACAATCGTTCGTTCTTTGTCCAATCAAACGGGACAGTAAAAACACGGAATGATACGAATACACACTTTTGCCCGGTCTACTAGCTCAGATCAACTGCAATTCAGAAAAAGGCAAGGATGAGTCTTACAGTTAGCTTTCCGTTTTCCTTCACAAAGTCAAAGCTCAAACGTAATTCTGAAAATATCATAGCTAGTCTGAAGCAAGGGTAAAAAGACCCGAACTGATCAACCCCGGGAGTCTTTAAGAATCATCCCCCTGTCTTAACAGTTTGGTTGACTGATGAATTGGCTAGCGTATGGGGACTAGACGTAATCCCATTTGACCGATCTATTGCTGATCGTTATAGTTTATAAGAAAGGATAAGAATCCTCTTGTGATAATCATAAAGGGAATAGTGTCTAAAATGTTAGCTTCAATAATTATCCAACACAAAACTGGGCTAGTTTCAAATCTGGATGTTAATATCTAAACCAAATATCCACCCTTCAGGTTTCGGAGCATAGACATACCAGCGCCTAATTATAATTTTATTTCTTGACTTTAAGGCACCATTCGACTTAGTTGATTAACAGGTTTGATGGCAACCTTCGGTCTCTGCTCAAACGCTACTAGTCGACTCACTGCTCATGACGAACCATCATCGTAATTGATGACTTAAAATGATGTTCATCAGGGTTGTCCACTCTCTATTTTCATTTAATTTCGTCGTAGAGATGACACTCACTAACTCCTCAATATTTGATCTCCTATCAGGAGGTTCTCTTATTGACTTGAAGTACGCGTATAACATTGTTTAGCTAAAACTGACAAAATTCTATCTTCTCATCGCCTTGAGCAATTATGCAAATATGTTTGGGATGAGTTTCTCTCCCTTCAGGACTGGTTTTCAGAAAGTTAAACCTTATTTTTAAATAATCCAGTTTATGTTATGAAAGTAGTGCCCCACTATTCACTGAGAGTCTTTATTGCTTAATAAACACTAGGTTTTTATTTCGAACAATTCAGTTGCATTATCCACGTAAGTTCTTGAAAATTATTCCATAATAGTATGGTAAAATATTTTTTATGTAATTTTTTATTTCATCATAACCAGTTTCATTGTTTGTTATATTCTAGTGGTATTATCGTTTCAGGTAACAAGTATATAATAACTACTTCGAAGTGTTCGTTCTTGATACGTAAAAATTAGCCTTACTGTTAGGCCTATTCCCAAAATACGTAACACATTCTTAACAGCAATTCACCTCAACTCACTGTGATGACTGGTGTAAGAATAGGAAATGTATGGTGTTAAAACCAATTAATAACACTTTAAGGTTCGTTAATGTTGGTGGAACTCATAGAAGCGTTTAGGCCTTTTAGTTTGTGTTAGCTAGTCAGTGGAGTATACTTAATTACTTTTGTTATCCATTCATCATCTGGAAATTTATATACTCGACTGTAAATCACACTTTTAGTGGGGTGCAGTAATATTCCCGAGCTACCCAGACCGTGGTAGCTGGACTGTGATTCGGACAGATAACCTGTTTGGTTAAGGGTCTAGTGCCTCTACCCTACAACAAGTCTGATTAAAAGCCAAATACGAGGACTTATTCTCAGTTACCAGCTTACTTTCGCCGTCCTAGATTTCATTCGTTTGATATAAGTCGCGAAATTGTTGATAAATGTACACTCTAGTTTGGCTTTGATACACAGCTCAATACTCTAGACTAAATTTTATTTTCTGTCTTCCATCTACTTTCTGGTGATCTACAGTTTGTTTATCAAGATGAATTTAGGTCTCCTTATTTGCTTTTCAGTTTTTAAATAATGTCAAAACATCATCGAGCCAAATCAAGCAGTACCAACATTTACGACATAAATTACTACTAAATTATTACTAGTATATTAATGCTCAAAGTTACCGGTTAATGTATTTTACTTATTCTTCTAGCAATTTTTCTCGAACTTTGAACAAAGTTAAAGCTGAACAAGAGGGATGGACAATAATTCCAAATTCATCATCTTTCGATAGTGTTATTACTGAATCAACAAGCTCTTCCTTTGAAAAGCAAGTCGAGTCAAACCGAAATATTTCCATATCTTTTATGGAGAGTTACTCTACCGGTGCTGAAACTTTAAATTCCATAAAGTCAGAAAGCGATCAAATAAATCCACCCGTACACGTTTCCGACCCAATGAAAATAAATTCACCAAATTTAACCGATGAACCACTGGTATTACTAAGCGGTACGTCAAATGAAAATCGTACGGGACCCCAATCCGGTGTCAATTCAATACGAAAACATATCGCAAGTTCCAAATGCAGCTCGTAAGTTAAAAGTGTATATCTAGCTCATCGCTTTTGGTGTTACCCAGCTTTTTATGGAATATGCAGAAACCTGACTTGTGCTCTTTATTGATTGTGATCCGAGCATTCCTTAATGTAGATATAAGAACACAATCAAAACAATTCTGAATTCCAAAGGGAGACCAAGTCGAAATGCCATCCCACTTTGTCCTTGACCTCTTTTATTTTCGACAATAAACCTTCCCATTTCGTTAATCACATTGTTAAAACACCAAGTTTTTTTGAAAGAATTGTTTCCCAGTCAACAAAAACTTCAAAGTTGACGAGTCTCTTATTTGTATACTTTAGAGACTGAACTTATTGTCTTTGAAACGTAATAATAGTTAGAAACTTTCTTACAATATCGTAGCATTATATATTTAATGGAATGATATTTACTGCATACCGGCTGGCCTCGTCAGTCAATAGTACTAATTTTCCCCACATATAAATATCATTACGTACTTCTCAGTTGTAAAAAAGGACAAAGATCTGTGCAATCGTATAATAGTTAATGTGAGGAATTTTGACTTTGTCAGTTATAGGCAGTATTCTCTAGAGATATTTACTTTATTTCCCATCAACGTCAGCATGAGGGTTTTAATAGAGACATAAAAATGAACAACATATCATGTAGTCAGTTCTTACACTTCATCCATGTATGAATTTTATATGCAGAACAGCATTATTGATATAAGTACTGCTGCATATCCTACTAAAGTGTGAGCAGTTAGGTTTATGGTATTTTAACTACTTATTGGTTTGAGTTTTTGTGAATTTTGGCGTAAGTTATTATCAGTCTATGCTATTTACGTTACGTCAAAAAATAGAGCTAGGTTTACTGTTTTTCTGGTTCAATTTTCAAAGTTAATTACCTTATCTTGATTAAATTCTATACATAGATTATCATTGTCTCATTTGATTGCCTCACGCATAGAGCTGTACTACTTAAAAAGGAATTCCGTTTAGTGTCGGAAAACGATTACTGTTTATATCGTGTTTCATCCGTGTTCTTAACATTATCGTTAGTAAATAGAGAAGATATTAATAGTTCTAGAAAACAGTTGAAGAAAAAAGATAATGTTTAATCTGCTGGCTAACTTAACTCATTTACTCCGAGAGTGATTTCGATCACGAGGATTTTTTAAAAATTGTCACATGTGTTTGTGTGCATTTATTGAATTTGGCTGCTTTTTATGTAACCAGAAAAAAATAACCAATACAGAAAATTGTCGTTTTAATGATTTTTTTGTTACAATCTGTTTATCATAATTTAGTCACTTAACTGTTCATATTGGCATCATAAGTAGCCTATTGTTGTTATTATAGTAAAGATTTTCAGTTTTGTTTTTGAATAATAGTCTTAATAAGCGGTTTTTAAAAAGAAGAGTTATGTATTAAAGTATTTTCTCAAAATGTAGTGATCGCTAACAAATTTTGTGTGTTGATTGATTAAGTGGTAAAATGTATCTGTTTTAACCACCAAATGACATTTATTTTATGCTTTTGTTTATTGAATAGTGATTTGTTGGTTAGTATACTTCTTTGTTGTAAGGCGAGAAATACCAACTAGGTACACAATAATGTTATGTACCGCTTGATAGGGTTTTATATTGAATCTTAAGGAATAATTTAGTTACTAACCCAAACCCTATTCTAAGTATTCATTATTTTTGTTTTTATTTAAACACATGAACATTGGTACAAGGAGGCACATAAATCATTCGGTTTGTGTAAGGGCTGGGGTACTACCGGGGTGCTAAAACTGAAGCAGGTGGTTTTCTTAGGGGGCCACACTCGGAGCCTTCGACCTAAAGGTCTAATCTACAAGGCAGTGGAGCAACGTCAGGAGATGCAGTCCCATGGTGACCGGTGACGAACGATTTGTTCCTTCAGGATCCTGGAGCCCATGTACACCATTGGTTTGGGATCAGGGTTTTCCAACTCCCCTAGGTGAGCTTTCCGTGTCCACCAACCCGAATAAAACGCCGGACATTCGTTTTTCGTCCTCTCAATTTCGCAAACAACCCACCAACTGCAAGAAGGCTGTGAGTAGGATTTCCCTGGCAGTGGTTGTATGCACGTGGCCGAGGGAGAGCTAACTCTCCTTACTCTCGACAATACCAGGGCATTTGGGGGCCTAAGTGTTATTTTATTCATGTTAACATATTATTGCACAGTTGATACTGATAATAATGTTATTTAGCAAATAGTAACTTCATACACTAGAATGATACCATTGTCACATGTGCCTTCGGAAAGAGCCGATACACTTAGTAGGGCTTGTCGATCTAAAGATCTACCAAACTATATAAGCTCTGAATTATTGGAAAAGTCTGCTAGCACCTTGATAACCTTACTACATGAATACCTCAGTGATCGTAAAGCATATATATCGACCCGATGTTATTTTGGAACGCTACTGCTTTTATTCGGGATCATTCAATTTTACTTTCTCCCTTTAGCTCTATTATTGTCAAAATTCAACAGATGATTTCGAAAAGTGGATTAGGCTTCTAAGTTAGTAAATGACATCAAACTTACAGATTATCTAATCTTATTTTAATAAAATATGATTCAGTGTCAAAGTTATTTAATGATTGTCAAAATCGATATGTATACTTTACTGAATCTCTCTCTATAGTCATGAGAGTTTATCGACTCTTCCGTGTATTTCTGTAACTCCATAACTACCAATTGAATCAGATTGATTAGATTAGACTTGACATAGCACAACCAAATCATCGTAACTGTAAACGTACGTAAAATGTCACTGTGAAGTTGGGAATTCTTGATTGTGTTTTGCCTTCATTCTCTACTGCTCCATCATTTTGGAAAGAGTTTGGTCCCAACGTCGTGTTCGCATGGTGAAAATGATATTTTCCTATGAATTCCTCTTATAATGTGGTCTTGTATCATTGTCTTGGACATATATATCAAAACGATGTTTATACTACACATTACTTTGCAACTCAATATCCTACAGGAAAAGTCTCAACAACAACCAATTTATGACATATTATGTCTGAATAAAATTTATTTGAATAAGGTTGTAGTGCGTGCTCCATCTCTGTTAGTAATCACAGCTTATGTTAACCTAACGGTCTTACTTTTAGTTTTATTCTTTTCACCCAAATTAATCGTTCAAGCAAAATAATTAAAATCTTTGTTGATTGTTTCTGTCTATTTTCCTAACTGAATCCACCATAATTTCATATTATATTATTTGATACCATTGTGTATTGAGTTTTTCTTTCAATAGTAATAAACTACTTACGTATATTCAGTCTTTACCAGTTTCAGGGTTGAGTATACGATATCATTTCTATTCACTATAATCCAGTTGAATAATAGCCTTGTCTTAATACAGTTAATAATCGTATTCAGTAATCATATTTGATAGATGGTTGATAAAATATTTTGTAAACGGTGTTGAACAAATAAAGTTGAAGTGAGATTAATTATTTCAAGTACAGTTTGTCACCTTAGTACAATATCTCTTGGAATAAATATGACTTATTTGGCTGTAGTTACAATTTGTGTGTCTGGTTAACTAGTAACTCAGTCCCAATGTATGGTTTTCTTAAAATGTCTCTTTAGCTCAACCTCTGATCCATTCCAAGAAAACTTTTATTCCAATATCCTATCAATTTCTAATTCAAATCCTAATAATATCCATAGGACAAATACAGAAATCCATTGGGTGGCTAGTCTGCCTACTATTTCATCTATTGCTAGTGGGTTAAAACAAGCTGTTGCAGATCGTAGTTGCGGTTCTACAGATTTCTGTTCAAATTTAGACTCACTTTCTTCGGAATCACGCTTTACAAATTCAGTTTATCCTCATGATAGTATGGGATCTCATAGAATAGCAGAAAATGTTTTGACATCAACTGAAAATATTTTATGTAATAATGATAATAACGACCCAGTTCATTGTAGATTATCACAGAAATTACCACTTTTAACCCCGTGTACTCCTGAACAACAGGCTTCTGATATACTTGTTCATTACGCTATTCAAGAGAATCACAATGCTGTTCAGATGAACGGTTCATGCAGTGAAGGCCTTGGTGATGACATGGTAGCATCATCATCTAGTTCAAGATTGTGTGCCAATGATTCATCTGATTTCGGGATAAGAAATGCTCTCAATGAACTATATTCTTCTGTTCGTCCAACTCTATCTAATGTTGGGGAGTGTAGAATTTTAACACCTGTTTTATCATCAATTCCTGAATCAACATCAACTGATGGTAATCCATGTAGTGAAAGTACACAAAAACCTCCTGCTCATATTTATGTTAGCTGTCAGTCGACTACACCTCGAGATAGTTCAAATCACCTGTTAGATAATCATTTGAACCCAACTTCCATCGCTAGTCAGTCACCTGGCTCTTCAGGTATTCATAACAGTGACAGCATGTTAAACAGAAATGATATCTGCCTATCGCGTCCACCGGAGTCTGTAAGTTACTTCTCATTATTGAAATTTAATTCACTTTTAAAACCACATACTCAGTACCTTAGTAAATCGATAGTTAGATATTACGATTGAATTTGTATTTAATGAGCTTCACTACAACTTTTCTCGTATATTGGTTCGGTATCATTTATAACCTATATTGATAGTTTTGTTAAATTATTTTGATTTGAGTAATTGGGTTTTGACAGACTTCCTATTCATTCATGGCCGATGTAAATATGTACACAGTAATCTCGTTATTATGACTGACATATTTTACTGTCAACATCTCTTGATTTAAAAATATGTTGATTAACACATTAATCTTTTCACCTTCATTTTTGATAATCCGTACTATTAAGCAAAATGTAAAGCCATGCTTCAAAATACAGTGCTTGGTATGAAAACTTGTTAATGGTGAACAGGATAGACTTGTTGCGAACACTCGGGGTAAATTAGGATCCAGGTGTCCTGGTGATAATCTCACAGATGTGTGCTTATTATTGATTTCAAAAGTCAACCAAGTGCTCCGTGGCTGGGTTTAAACAAACGATTATGTTAACGTTATCCAATTGGACGAAACTCGAAAAGATGGAGGTATGTATTAGTACTTGTTCATAGTCTTTGCTTATGAACTCGCTGAAGGGATCCTGAATGAATTAATAGATAATTTTTTCAAAAGCTTTCTAGTCTCTAAAACGGTTGGTGCTCAGATGTAGTAGTTGTGGCGGACAAACTAAACCAGCAAAAAAATTCGGTGGGAATTTAGTCGTTCAGGCCCAGCAAACCAGATAATGAAGAATTTCGTTTGACACTATTCTGAAACAACCATTTATTCCTAACAAGCACTGACTTAAAGCATAAAAAACATTATTATAACAACCTCCGATATTGACTCAACATTAGTACAAACAAAGTACCATTATTGAAGAGAGTCCGTAGAAGACTTCCGAAATATTTGCAGACTACAACCACAAACTGTCACAAGAATACATTTGCTTGATGTCTTACTGGGTGTTGTTGCGATTTCTGGTTTTTTGTAACATCTACAAATAACTTGAACCAAAAGGTTAAGGAAGTTTGGTGGGTTTTGTAATCCTAATAAATTGGTCTTCGAAAGTTGTTGATAATGAGCTCTTAATATTACGAGGATCAAAGACAACTTAAACTCGCGATAATCGCGACTATTGGGTAAACAATTAAAGAGGTATTAAAACACTGAGCTGTAATCCAAGAACATTTAGGACGCGTTTTCTTTCCCATAAATTCAAAATATTGATTCTAAGCTGTTCATCATCGAAAATGTTTTTACCACATTACGAATCTTTATCTTACCAGCCTTAGTGGGTTAGGACCTATGCAGTTATCAGTAGTGTACAAAAGCTCATGACTGAGTTGTGTTGAGAATAATAAAGTTCTTGGTTAGAGTCTAAAAAATAATCATTGTTTAGAAATCAGGTAATATGACACGAAATCAGATTCAGTAGCTCAGTTACACTGATTCTTTATATTCCTCTAAATCATGTTCTCAGACTCATTATATACCTATCCTTTTGAACTGATTCATCTCTTTTCAGCAGTATTTGTCTAATTTTTCATTACAGTTGAGATTTTTATTAAGTGACTTTCCTTTAATTCTACTAGTACTGGGTGCAACAACTTGATTTAACCCAAATCTATACAATTTCGTACACCTCTTACTGACTGAAGCACATATATGTATATTACCAGTTTCTGTAACTTTGGTATAGTGTTATTTTTCCCACTTGTATACTGTCATGAAAAACTTTTTTTTTTATTTATTCAGCATACCAATGGAAATTTACACAGTCAACAGTTCGATGGAATGTATTGTACACTTGGTAACCACTTTTCTGATAAGTCATTGTTACTCCAATCAAACAGTAGATTTACAACGACCAGTCATTTAATTCCATGTACTAATTCTGTATGTGATTCCTTTCTAGATACTCATATGTTACAAAGTTTGAGGTCACCTGGAATACTAAGTACTGATATAAAGCAGGGGTCTGTTAGTTCTGTGTTTAATCTCACGCCAATTTCTTCATTTTTATCTGATGAAAATAATGGTGATCTTGATCAGAGAAATAATTATTTTCAACAGTTGTCAAATTCTAAGTCAGATAAAATTGATATAACTTCATTTCCTGCAGTAACCAGCTGCTTAAATCCTTTTCCTGTTGAACCATTATCATTAGTTACTAATTCAAACTGTCTCAAAAAATCTAAACGTCATGGTGCAGGGAATAAAAAGTCACGTATGAATACTTTGAATACTAATTCTGGATTGCCAGTTGTTTGCGATAGTAGTACAGACATAATACCAACCCAAGGTATGTTTAATGATCCAAGTAAAAACAGTGTAAAGCGACCACGTAACTTAACGGGACGCGGAAGCTCAGATGTGTCTGGTAAAATTCCTTCTAGTGTTTATAATAGTGAGAATTATTCAACTGCAAACCAACAAGCATATCGCGGAGATTCTAATAAGTGTTTTACCGGTAAAGTTGAATCTTTGGTGATTGATGATGCGGATGATAGTAGTAATCATTCAGAATCACTTAGCACAGGAACTCGTCATGCTGTTGGAGATAGCACTCCAGTGTCGCCTTCAGATGAAGTTGAACAGCATCATTTAAAATTGGAAAGAAAGCGTGCTCGTAATCGTGTTGCTGCACGTCGTTGTCGTGAACGTAAAATATCACTTATCAGATCGTTAGAAAATCAAGTAGCTGAACGTGACGCCCAAGTAAGAAATTTAGAGGATACACTTGCTCGGTATAGAGCTGAAAGTGAACAATTAAGATTACATGTAGAAATGCTAGCTAGCTCATACCCTAGTTTAAAAGCTGAATTATATCGGTTCCCTTTTCTTTTCCAACCATCATCGTCGCATACTCAACCGCCACCACCTCAACAGCAACAACAAGCTTCTAATCAAACTACTCCATTAAAATCGGAACTTCCCGATACATCATCGTCAAAGCATTTCACTTGAAAAAGGTTGGATAATTACAACTAACAATACCGTTGATATATTTTTATAGTTCCTATGACACAAAGTTGTAAGACTTCTTTTTACTCCGCTTGTTTGTTTTTGTTACGACATTTTAGTCTACAAGCCATATTTTCTCACTTTTCGTTTTTTCATAATGATTCCTATACTTTTTAATTTTTTTAAAGAAAAATGCTATTTTTAGGTTCTAATGATGAACGAACCACATGTATACATACGTACATCATACTTTTCTACAAATCATTTCACACATTTCCTTTCTATCCTATGTCTATTGTCTCCTAGTTGTCTCTGGAAAATTATGTGTACTTTTCAGTCTGGTTTTTCATCTATTCTAACGTATTTAATTCATTTAATCCCGCGTTCATCATACCATTTCATAATCATTTAACAATTAGGAATGACCTCTTTTACCGGTTATTATGTAATTATCATTATCTTCCAATCGGTTAAGACCATAATTGATATTCTGATGTTGATAAATAAAATCAGCGTCAATTTGTGCGCCTTTTTTTTAAAATTTTATATCATCAATGCTACCATTAGTATTATTACATCAGACTGGGGAGTGTTTTTTATAACAGATTTAAATTGTTTTACAGGTATTATTTTCGAAAAATCAATTTTTATTACATAATGTTCATTTTCTTTTTGCTTTGATGGTTTTATACACTTGACAATTTTTAATTGTTACGTATACATTGTGTTGCCTATTAAATAGGGTAAGTTGGCTGCTCATATTTTGTTATCGTTTAAAGTTGAGAAGAAAAACGTTGTCACCTTATATATTAAGTCCAGTTGTTGTATTTCTTCTATATATACACATTTTCTGTCTTTATGTTTTATGAAATATGCACATATATATTGCCTTTATTACATAAGTCATTGTACGCCAAATGCTATATATATATATATATATATATATATATATATATATATATATATAGTAGCCTCTTTTATTTTCTGGAGGTTCCATTCAACCCGGTTCAAAGAATACACACATTTCATATATACATTAATACCAACATAAATATAATAGATAATTTGTAAATGTATATGAATGGTTGGTGTTCTTTTATAATTTTCCATATGCCTTTTTTTCTCGGTTTGAATATGTAGTACTAATGATTAAACTATTTTATACTTGTACCACAATTCTCTATATACATACACATTATCCTGTTTTCTATGAATTTTCTGATTCTATTAATGGGGAACAATTTTATTCATGCTCCATAATTTGTAACTTATCCTATTATACGTAAATACAAATGTAATGTGCCTTCTATTTTGCTGCAAAGAATATAATATTGTTGTATACGAATAATATCTATATATATGATCGGTATATTGTGAAATTTAGGCAACATATTATTTACGTGTATGGCTATTGTTATCATGCATTTATTCTATCAAAAGGATAATTGAACTTCTTATACATCTACAGGCAGGTACATTATCTTTTTGAAATTATTTTTACTGTAATGCTCATTCTTTCTACGTAATTTTCCCCGCCATTCATAGCGCCGTTATAAATACATATATGTAGTTTTCATTTATTCGACCATTTCACCATCCCCTTCATTATTAACTGGTTCTAATTGAATAACGAGTGATTATCTGTTATCTTTTGAAATAGTCTTTTGTTTTAGGCTGAAGAAGAGGACAAATTAGGTCCACGGTACATTTTTTTCATAAATAATTCCTATTTATTATTGTTGTCTGGACCATGGAATATGTAGGCGAATTTTGCAGCCATTTTTTAAAGTGTTATCTGTCTTCGGCATACTTTCCACATCACCTCATGTGTGTTATTACCATTGCTTTCTACTCATATTGATGAGGAGGATGATGATATCTTATTGGATACTAGCAAAGAAAAATGAATTAGTCAGTTAACTGACAAAAAGACAAACATAACATGTAAATACCAAGTTTTTAATTCTTCATTTTAATAACACTATTACAAATATTAGTGCTACTATAATTATTATTCCTAACTTTTTTCATAACACAGTTTTCGTTCAATAAATTTTGATAGTCAAATCTAAATAAAAACTAATTATATTCTTTCTTTGTTTTAACGGTCTTAATCCCTCCGTTGAGGTGGTTACTTGGGTCTTTGCAGTGAAAAAAAATTTATTAAGCCCCCACTTCCAATGCACAATTAGTTTGATCAAACAGCTCATTTAATATTTTACATAGCACACTTCATTACCAACTAATAAAGTCGCTCCTAAACACTACACGTAAATGTGAGCATAATCGATACATCTGAAGTTTGATATTAATGATCGACTAGAAAAGTGCCTGTACAAATAAAGAAAAATCTGATCAAAAAGAAGGATAGGTTATTTGTATTCCCGCTAAAAGTAGTTAGTGTTACATAAGTTACTTGTCTCAAACAGTTTTGCTCGGAGATCGAGTTAGCTTGTTCTCCTTTAAAAGATCAGTTACTGTACAACGCACTTTTCCGAGATAAATAAATATTTATTTCTATTCCAAGTACCTAGATCTTCCATCAAAACAGTTATATTGAACCTATCTTTTGTTTCTCCTCTATTCACGATTACATATTGGAGTTATTTCCTTTTTGTGTCTGAATTATGTATTCCACTCAATATGATTAAGTTGTCAAATATTCCTCTTATCGTTCCTAGAGGACTTAGTCGAAACAAATCAAGATCGGTTTATCTTAGAAGTTAGGCACATAAAATAAGTCTCAATTTTTGTGGAATTTAACTTATTTGGGCCTACTTGCAATGAGTAAATCTACTCAATTAATAACTTTAGATAAACCACGTGACTAATGAAATGAATTTCTACTTTTCACGTGCATTGTGCTTTATTTTATGATCATATTTGAAAACTAAACATTATTGCTTGTCATATAATTCCTGACAGGCTTTCAAGTCAGAGGTCTTTAGTTTTGTAAAATGTCACTCACAGTTATAATTCCTTAGTAATAACCGAAAGGTATAAATTATTAATCGATTAAGGCGATTCGATAAAAATCGTATATTAGTTGCATAAAACTTCTCTTAGTACTTGTAAAACCTGACTTGGAATTCAAAATCACTGTCCACATAAAAGTGTCTTGGTTTTTAATTCAAGGAAGAATATTTAAGAACCTGTCAAGGTGAATATAATGTACTGCAATACTTTATATTTCATTATTGAAGAGCAGTCGCTGAAAAGCATACTTAAATCAGTATAAACAGTAACTGTGATCTAGAGATGTTTGTCCAACTACCTGATGCTGCTTATAGTGGCTCGGGTACCAGTTTTTTTCACATACTCTGAAGATACTTGTTCAGTAATCACTTATCTGATTGCTTTCATATGATTCTCACTACTAACAAATTACTTGGTGATGTTTATCATAGCAGATGAAAATTTTGATTTCATCTCCAAAATACTAACCTATGGTCTGGCCATCAGTGCACTGCAAGAGACTGAGTTAGTGGGTTACTAATATTTTTGTTTTTAAATTTGAGAATTATTTCTCCGATAACTACATATTAGTCTTTTGAATGAAGCCAGAACTATTGAAGGAGAATAATAAGATTTCATAGTTTCTCAACTGTCGATTACGTCTATACATGTACTGAAATGTAACATTGCTGTATGATGTAATATGAAGGAATTAGAGTAACAAAGATTATCAGTATTAATTATATATACATATTTTTACCGCGCTCGTAGACTCAGTCCGAAGGAAAGCTTGGGAGTGGAACTTGCTCTCATTAAAATCCGTCTACGTGAAAATGCATACCCACCGAAATTCATCGAGTATCCCAAAACAGTGTAATTGAGTTAATATCATCCAATAAGCCTTGACCATAGATTGTCTAAACTTGTAGTTTTCCCGGATGGGTTTCATGTGCGTGATAAAATGTAAATTATTGATGGTTTTCTAAAAAATAATAATAGTGGAAATAAAATGTTTAGGTTAACATTTCTCTACAAGAGCTTTATAAAACCAATTGAAACGTTTTGAACTAAAAAAACCATTCATGTTACAGTTGTTGAATGATTAGTTCACTTACCAAGCAACTCAAATTTGATGGATTCTAAGATTTTCTCACATGAGAAATAACATGTAGAATGTACATATAAATGAAAGTGTTTCATAGGAATATAATGCAAATTAAGGGACTATTAAATAATGTGAAACACTTAGGCTGCTGATGTAGTCGGATTCTGTATAATTGTAAATCTCGATGACACCATCTTAATGTTAGTTATGCATTAATTAACGATTGGATAAAATCTACAAATATGAAATCGCATTATTCATGTTTGGCATGTTCCACCTTACGCATAAGGAAATGTTAAATTCATTTTATATAGTATTGTTACTACTACCTTTTACATCTGAAATTTAAATTAACAAATATTCAGTGTATAAAATACTGTACAGAGGAGACGGATAACGTTTATATTCTCTTTTCTACCCTGTCCTACTATGCGACAGATATTGCGGAAATTTATAAACGAAACTGATAATCTGGTAAAATAACAGTCATGTTCTAGAATCTATTTATCTTCTTTCAATAGTATCTCCAAAAGAAATGCATACTCACTGACCATTTGTCGCTTAATGGAAATTTGCTTGTTTTTGTCAAAGTAAATGGATTAATGATTTTGCTCTTGTCATACAATGTATTTCAGTGTTATAAAACACAGTCTGTCCGATAGATACATCATATAATACCACAACATACTTGTAAAATGTTTGAAATATTTTTGAATTAATTAACTTTTTATCATATATTTGTACAATTTGTCGAATAAAAACTAAAAATTTCAAAAAGTAACATGAAAGGAATTACTTATTGGGTGATTGTTTGGTGTAAGTGTGTACTGGGAGAAAACAAGGGACGCCCGAACTGAGTTCATGACGTCGGACTAAGCCATGTAAATGTGGACAGATTACTTTGTTGGTGTCTATCATCATAACTAATTGTTCGGGACTGGGTGACATTAGTCAAAATTGTTCTGTCTTCCCTCAGATTCTGAGCTTCGAAAACTCCTGATACTTCCTTTTATGTCTGATCGTTTTTATTACTTCTGATATTGTTGCTTCTTCTACTTCTGTGACACTTGTCTTGATAATTTCATCTGGTTCTGCTGATGACGATAGACATTTGCATATGACTGAGTTACTTATCACTATTACCCTAAGATGACAATAAATAATATGAAGCCGACTAAAACTTTTCAGTTTCCCTTCTAACTGCTTGTAAAATAAATTTTATAACAGTTCCATGACTATTTCATCATGGTAAAGCTATTTGAATGACTAAATATTTTGTAATTCTTTTAGGAAATAATCAACACTCATTGCATAGACCGTTACCAAACTCTAACCAACTGAATAATGTAAATTCATACTTCTTTAATTAAATTTAGTTATCATCTGAGTTATTTAATTCTTTCGTCAATTTTCTTGACAATTTATACAAGCCTATAAAGAACATGGAATTTAATTTTATTGAAATAGATTTTAGCGAAAAAGTAACAGTAGTACCAATACATTGTTAACTCATGTGTCTATCATCCTATACTGTTGTTAATCGATATGTGTAAAATGTTAATAATCATTAATGAACGCAGTGAAATACCAAAAGTGTCTTTATTTCATTGAACTGTTTCATTGTTGAAGGATAAACATAATATACTGTTTAATTTATGTCGATGATTCGAAACTAAATAAACTGTATTAAGCCTCACTTGAACTGTGTGTGTGCTACTTATATCCACATCAGTAGTGTATAACGTAGTCAGGATTAGAATGTCTGGCAAAAGAAGGTCAAGAAAGAAAGAACAGGAACAGAAAGCAATTGATATGAAAATGCAGGAACAATGAAGTCTGAGACGATTGATCGATATTTGCAAAAGGGATAGTCAAGTTTGAGACAATTGATTGACATTTTGAAAATTAAGTATTTACTGTATGGTTCTCAGATTTTACTAAGATGTTCTGTAATTTTGTTTTTGAACACATTCGATTGACCTTACTTGTGTTTTCCTTCACTATAGAACGTTTATTAATTATATAGTTTTTAATAGTTAAATTCATGAGTCGATATAAGGCGAATCACCATTGAGAACCTGGAAGCGCTGGACATCTGTTCCGTTGAATCAGGAATTCAACTACTAAAATTACTACAATCTTCAATTACCCAATTCTGATCAAATTATGTAATTGTTATGAAGGGGTCTTGTACTATTCTTTTTCCATTTACGCTGTAAACATATAGAATACAAGTAATGTGTAGCGATAACTTGTATTGAGAATTTACTATTGCATTCAAAAATATAGAACTATGTGAATCGATTATTATTTTTTCTAAATTAATTGACATAGATTTCTAAATAAAAGATGTATTAAAGGTTTGATAAATGTCATCTATCAGAACATTTTTAATTAATTTTATCTTCTCAGTAGACTGAGAATTACTTATTCTTATAGAGACTGGTTCTGTTGAGTTGATTTTTAATATTCATACTTTTATTTACTGTTTAGGGAATGAAGGGAACTGTAACGAGACAATATGACATATATAGCAACGTAGATTCCGTAAATCTAGAAGATAATACTCCTAGATTTGCTTAAGTCATTAAAAATCAGTTCCACCATACTATTTTTTACTGTGATCACAAGTTCAAAAGTCAATAAAACTAGAACATCATACATGTATGTGCTGATGAGATATTTTCATGCTATTTTTAAACAACTTATTTTCAACTGATTCAGCTACTTCACCTTAAGTAGTATTTATGATACTTATTAAGAATCAATTTCTAAGGATTTTCAGAGTCGGAAGTGATCTGTGAATGTTAGATACCTAATTGGTAGTTTAATTCATAAAACTATTCTTTTCATTTTTTGCTCGCCTACGCTTATAAAATTCATTTCCTTCTGTTACATGAACTGTTTTGTAATTATTTTGGTAAAACCCCAGTTTTACTCATAAGTAGTTTATATTATTCAATAAAAGGTTTTCTATAAACCTAGAATACATTGTTATAAGATCTCATGATTGAATCGAATAGGTGATCTA